TGAACCTCCTGCTTGCTTCTAGGTCGCAACTCAAGCTGCGCCTTGTTGAACGCAACTTTCCACACATCACCTCTCTTCTCCACAAGTCCGTTCTGCCATGGTGCATAAGCAGCAGACGTGTCACAATACGTTCCATCCATGGACAATCCATGCTCAAACTCACCCTCAAACTCTTTGCCTCCATCACAAAACAGCCGAATGGGTGGTCCTGCCCATTTCTTCCAGGATTTGCGATAAGCGTTCCTGACATGTCTGGCTTGCATCCCTTTGAACAACGGAGTGGCCATCTGAAACCCAGTAGCTTCATCGACAACGTTCAAAAAATGCAATTTTTCCCCACGCACTTCAAGTTCAAACGTGTCAACACACACTTGCTGATTAAATTCCACAGCCCTGCGGATCTTGGCCACATGATGACTCTTAGGTTTGCTCAATTCCTGACACGTTTCACATGTCAATCCTCGTGCTAACTGCAACACTTTGTCACTAGCATGCGCAGCTTTCAGCAAGATGTTCATGCGTGCCACAGATGGATGTCCAAGGTTTTCATGCAACTTCTTCAGCATCACCATGATTTTGCGCTCATCATCATCCGCACCCCCTCTCAGGTTTTCAATGGTGTACACACAGTGAGACACAAACACATCATCCCTGCTACGATCATGTTCCAACAGCCCAACAGCAACATCCTTCTGGAAACAGTGTTTATCTCTCAACTCACCCGCCGTGATCCAGTTTTTCTTGCTGCGGTCGTGAATTTGTCGACAGTTAGTGTACATCCGCCACACACTGCCTCCACTCTCCCGTTCCACCATCTTCACAGTCTGCTCTTCTCTCAACTTCATCCAACCTCTCACTCTCTCACTCAGGCTCTCATTCTCTTCTTCCACACAAAACAGTCTGCCCTCACATGACTGTTCAGCACAACATGCCGCAACTAACCTAGTGAACGCAGCCTTTTGCCTACCATCAAAAACACGGTCACACGTGGCATCCCCAACAGTTCTGGTCATGTGCTTGGGGGTCCTAATAACCAAAAGTTTGGGTCTCTCTTGCCTAATGCATTCCAGCGCGCTCTGCACCCTTGTACCACTTCGCACATCTGATGGTGATAACTTGGGAAAAACATGCTCGCACTGAAAGCCTACTGCCGTGAACACTGAGGTGGCTGCCTCCTGTTCCAGAAAAAGCACATCAGTGCCATGTTCCACATGGCACTTTTGGCCCTCTAACTGGCTGCACATCTCAATGCCACGCCTGCACAGTTTCCTTTCAGCCTTTGTCATATGACTCAGCTCAGAGGACGAACTCACATCTCCTCCAGCGCCTCCAGCTCCAGGGTCATCTCCTCGATCTGGCGACGCAGTTGTTGGCGACGACGCTCCTCGATGGTGTGCTCCTCGTCCATCACCAGCCATTCCGATGTCTCTGGCACTGTTGCTCTGCTCTTCGCTTGAGACGACTTGGCTTTTGGAACCATCGGAGTTGCCCTTGCCGAACTGGTTGCTGTAGTTGGCTTCTGCTTCTTTGGAGACGTAGCCATTCGCACCCTCTTGGACTTCATCTGATCGCGCAACTCGATGTACAACCGGAATGATGCCATCGTTGGGTGACTCTCGCCCTTGTTGGAGTTCTGATCCCTGCCCTTGACAAACTTTCTCACCCATGCCACATACTTCTTGTCTGTGACGTATGCCTGATTGAAGCTTGTGGCAGTCTTGGCCCTCTCGTACTTCCCCACATTGAACACGGTTGCGCCGGTTAGCCCTCTGACGAGCCCTTCTGGCTCGTCTTCGCTGTGATCTGAGCAGGCATCCAGAATCGACGCCCCCAGCGTTGCCTCCGCTTCCCCCTCTAGGTGAGGAGCCAAGTCCCGCATGAGACTCTCCACCAGTGGCGTCCTGACGAATGGCTCTGCCATTGGCACATCGCTGCTGTTGCCCATGTAGCTCATGATCTTCAACTACAGCTTCGGGTGCTACTTGTTCGATTTCTATGTCCCTCTGAGCCTGAGCACTGCCACACATCACGGCATTCACCTCATGCGTCTCTGTTGGCAGGTTCTGCTCAATCTGCAACTTGGTCTGTTTCTTGGCCTTCATGCCCTCAAACAAAGGCAGCGCATAGTGACCCTTCTCCGTTTCTTTGAGCTTTATGGTAACCCCATATTTCCCAACTTCTAACGCATCCCTTTCCATATCTAATTTAGCATGCAAACCCCTTAACAACTCTTTGGAGAGAAGCAGTGGTGTCTCAGCACCGGACCCCGGCAACACAGCCGCCTTGATTGCTAGCTGTCTACCCCCAAGTGATATCGGAATCAGAGCAGCTTTAGTGGTCTCCAACACACCAGCATTACCAAACCGAAACTCATGACACTCCGGAACCTGAAGAATCTTCAGCCCTGATTCAGATAGCACCCCAGACATTCTACCTAAGACTGACTCTCCTATCAGAGTCCTCCTACAGGCAGTGTCTGGAACCCCATGGCACGCAAGGTCAGCCATGTATGCATCACTCGCGCTTGCTCCTGAAGATTGTGCATCAGCGAAAAACTGTAGCAACCCTTGCTCAAAGTCCCCCCTCACTTGTCCGTCTTGATCAACGCTCTCATCCCGTGCTGCAAGAACTACATCTACCTGACCGCCATGCTCTGCCAAGAAGACTTCCAACTGACCAATGTTGCCCTCATCAATGAAGAACTCATCTCCAAGATTTTTCCATGTCTCGTAGTCATTCTCAGCGACCATTGCTTCGGAGCCTCCGCTCTTCTTTTTCCTCGGACATTCCCTTTTCCAATGCCCTCGTTCCTGACATATGTGGCATTTTGTTTTGGCTTTGAGTTCAGCGATCTTGCCCTTGACGGTCCCTGTCAGGGTCCATTCTGGCTTGTGGCTTTGGTTCTTGTAGCCGCGACCAAGCTTGCGCTGCTGCATCTGACGGCGCACATCTTTGTACGTCTCGAACACTTCGAGCGCATCCTCATCATCATATTCTTCCTGTTGTTGTACTTGGTCAGCAACGGCCTGGAACACTTCATCGATGGACTCCTCGTGGCCGTCTATATCCTTGCCATCATCTGCCTCAGTAGCTTCAAACACTTCTCGCACTTTGGCACCTCCTGTCTTGGCAGTGCCTTGTGGGAAGATGGACTGCACAGCACCAGTAATGTCTGGGTACTTCAGGGATCCCTTGGCGTGAGTCAAGATCATCGCCTCCGATGTCACATCGAGGTTCAGTTTTCTCAACAGGAACCACCCTTTTACCTCGTCAGGGAGCTCAACACTGTGCTCTTGAAGCCTACGGTATGCTGTCTCCAAGCGGACCATCAGGTTACGATATGTCTCACCCTGCTTGATGTTTATGCCGTAGAAATACTCTTGCAGATGATTGTGTAGTGCATCTTTCTGCAATTGCTTGTACTTCGCATCGAGGGCCTGGAACACCAGCTCGTGGCCGCCCTCCTTGATCAGCTTTTCCAATGGAATTGCTTCACACACTTCTTCTGCCTCTCCAGACAGAAACTCCATCAACTTTGCACCCCATTTCTCCTTGGAGTACGTGTTGGGCAAAGCCATGATCATGAGCTCTGCCTTGCGACGCCACTTTCGATATGTTGAAGGCTGGGTGCCATCGAATCGCTCAAGCCTCGTCCACTCATCCTTGGAGGTCGCTGACATGCCACCAAACTCCTAAGCGAAGACCGTGCGCTTTCTGGTTACTCCCAATGGGAGCCACTCTCCAAGCGCTCCGCTACCACCTGAAGACTTCTGGTCTCCAGGCGGCAGGTAGCGTCTTGCTTTTCCATCCGGTTGCACTTCAATGACTCCTGGGACAAAGGGGGACCTTGGTGAGATATGGCCGCGGGTCCATGTTCTTTCCTGTACAGGTGCTGGTCTTTCACATGGGACATGAGATATCTATACAAGCGCCTCCAAGACATGCAGCATTTCTTCACTTAGGGTTTGGGGCCTAGGGTTTAGGGTTCCATACGAAAGAATCCTGGCCCAGCAAGCTGATAATTCACCATGAGTCAGGGTTTCACCACAAGAGTCTAGGGTCTCTTTGTCGTGGCACCCTCTTTGTTTATAGGGGGCTTCTAAGGCCTTTGGTTAGCTAGGAATGAAGGAATGGATTCTCATAGTAGTCCCTATATGGCCCTTTATTGTAGTTTCCATTTTCTTTTCCATTCTTCCATGCCCAGCTCACCAAAGGTGACCTCTATATACCCCCAGTTTCCATTTCATGTTCGATTCTATGTTCCATGTGACTTTCCATTATTGGGGTCCTACAATCCCCATATAGCCCACATACAATCCCTATAACCCCTGTAGTTTCGATGTCCTTTTCCATTATCCCTAAACCCTAAACCCCAAATTGTAGTTTCCATTTTCTTTTCCATTATCCATTATCCCTAAACCCTAAAACCCAGTTCTAAGGCAGCAATGCCTGGGAACAGCGCACTCCTGCCGCCATATAGCTTGGCTCCAGGGCTGACGAAATACCTCCAGAGCAAAGTCGCCGAAGACCTTGGCCATGGTTTAAGACTGAGGGTTAAGGGTTTGGAGTTTAAGGTTTAGGGTTTAGAGTTTAGTAGGGTCTAGGGTTCAGGATTTAGGGTTTAGAGTTTGGGGTTTGGGGTTAGGGTTTCGGATTCAATGCTCAGGGTTTAATTGGGATATGGGGTTGGGTCCGATTTGGGAGTTTTTGAAAACAGCCCCTATAAAACCTGAAGGCGAATGCCAACGTTTTCAATGAGCACGCGACATATTCCAATGGTCCCGTGGGATACCCTTCCCTTGCAGAAACCCCCACTCGCTCGGAGAATCAAGGGTGACCAACGGTGGGGGATTTATAAGCACATATCTTAGGATAGGCTGCAAGTCACAATTCTAGAAGATTTCATTTAGAGGCAACCATGAACTTGGAACTGGGGCGGTGGTTTCTCGTGGATGTCACGGGTCACCACAAGCAGCAGGAAGACATTTTCCTCGTCATTGCTGCAAATAGATAACTTTTTGCAAAGGAAGCTGCACTTTTATTGGTTTCACAATGCTCATGAGCCTTCAGGCAGTCTTACGCTGCTTGCTCTCAAAAGAATCCCTTCAAAGACTCCCGTTCCTTTCAAAAGTGCTACTGTACATGGGGCGCTCGTTTAATGTTTTGGGGAGGTTGCTCGGAACTTGGATATCAAGGATCCCGGCCACCTGTCTATCCAAAGCTCGCCAGTTCCAGCCTACACTCTAAAGCCTAGATCATATAGCTGCAGCTGACAAAAGTCCGTGGGGTAAAGGACAACAATAGAAGCAAATTCGGCGCAGACCGTAAACCCTGAACCGCTGGGAAGGCCAGATGTTATAAGCCACTACAAAACACAAGTTTCCGTTTCATTGTCCATTTTATTTTCTCTTTGATCCCGCGTGGTAAGCCCCAGGAAGGCCAGATGTTTGATGTGGACTTCTACGCATCCAAGCAGGAGTTCGATGATGCTCGGGAGTGGTCCTGGGCACAGCTGGGCGTAGCATTCAACAGCGGCTTGATCGTGTTGAAGACTTGCTATACATGTCCTTACTTGGGTGGCAGGTGCTTGAGACAATGGGTTACCTGAGGAGTATATGTCTTGAGAATTGAAGCTGGGTTTTAAGTACGAAGCATTTTTGCAGACCTTGGTTTGAATATGTTTTGCAAACATCGATTTGTATGAATGTGACCAAGAAACATTGCAGCTTACACAAGTCCAACTTCCAAGGAGGGATCAGACTTGCCCTTCTCCAGTCCAGTAGACGCTAGGCCCGAAATCCCAAACAGTAGCTTCCATATTATTATCCATTATCCCTATATTCCCCTATATAATCCTGTATATCCCAAATATTCAGGTGGTGCCAGAGACTACAGACCCAGACCTACATCAACTGCGGATTCCTCCAACAGACTGCGGGACAAGCAGCGTGTGGAATCCCGCTGGGCGCTAGGTGGGGGGTTAAAGGCTTATAGGGGTTGGCTTCGAGACTGAAGGTTTTTTTTCTTCGATGATTGATGGTTTTACGTCCTGACCGGGATCTGGCAAAACGGAGTTTGGGGCTGAGGGCTGAGGATTTGTAACTTTGATGTAGCGCAGGGAAGCAGTTGGGGTTGAGGGTTTGGATTTAAGGGTCTGGCTTCAGGTTTCAGAGTCGAAGGTGTAGGGGTTCAGTTTTAAGAGTTGTGCCTTGCAGCTCATGCTTCAGTTTAAGGGTGCGGGGGTTCAGCGTGGGGGGGGGCCTGGACAGACTCTTGAGATTGGGAGTAAGCGTGCATGCTCACCTCTTTTCCCAAGGTCCCAGTACCCCTGAATTAAGGACTATACCGCGGCAGGACGAAAGTTCGTCGCACTTGCGCATCCTTGCATAAGTTCTGCGCGAATCCTGGGAAGACCCCCTTTCCCTGTAGACTCCTCCACCAAGTCCTCCGTCCGGAACAATTAAAGTATAATAAATTCATTCCGGTGGATTAATTCTTCCGCTAGCCAGGCCAGTGAAAACGCACTTTCCTGTACTCCGTGTCCTCCGCCACATGAAAGTAGGCAAGTGCGACGAAACTTTATTCCTGGTGATGCATTTGGAAAGGAGTTCGAGGCCAAGAAATCTTTTTAGGCCCCCCACATGACTATGCTAAAGCCCTTCTTGAGCCCCTACACAGATCAAGCCTCCCTGCCGCTCCTGCTCAGGAGGTACAGCCCGAGTTTGGGACGTCGCCCTCGTGCCATGGGTGGTCTGAGTGTGGCCCAACGAGCCACAAGGGCTCTTGTCACACTTCTGCTGTCCTTGGCGCAAGCCTACGGCCTTGAGGTGGCAGTGTGCCGGGATTCGGCCGACGCCGACGTGCAAAAGGCTTTTCGTAAAGTAGCTCGGCGCGAACATCCGGACAGGGGCGGCAGTGCCAAGGACACACAGAGGCTGAACAACGCGCGTGACGCTTGGCAGGCAGCAGCGCGGCAAGGCCCGCAGCGAGGTCGGGCCCGGCCTGCGGCGGCAGCAGCCGCGGCTGCCGCCTCGTGATGCAACTGTCCGCGCCAACTACTGCACCCATGGTGACACGCACAAGTGGAGTCTACCCAGCAAGGTTGCTAGCGAGACGCTGGCAGGGCAGGATCCGGATCCATTCCAGGTGTTTGCTGATCGCATAGTGCCGCTGTGGGGAGGGCTCTCAGAAGCTGGCTTCGCGCTTGTCGCCTTTCACCGCACGCGCAAGTTCACCTCTGGTGAGTGGTGCCATGAGGCGAGATGCGGCAAATTGACGAAGACTATACAGTCCTTCTTACCCATCAAGCGTGAGGGGCCTTGGACGCTGCTGTGTGACAACGAGTCCTTTCTCCATACAGCTACAAGCAAACCGGCCACGCGCGAGGCGGGCGTTCTAACATGGCATGCCTGCATCCTCGCCAGATCTCAACCCGGTCGAGAAGATGTGGGCTTGGCTGCGGCGAAAAATCAGGGCCAAGGATTGTCCAATTGGCAGGACGGCCTTCAAAGCTCGTGTCCGCAGCATGCTCTCGTGCAAGCAAGCGCAGAGCGTGGCAGCTCGCATTGCGGCAGGCTTCCGGACGACCTGTAAGGAGGGCGCGGCCAAAAAGGGCGGCATGGCCAGAGCTTAAGAAGCCAGTGCACATGGTCAGCAAGTCCGGCACACTGCAGTTAGGGCGACTATCGGCAGCAAAATTCACGCTGTATACCAAGAACTATATGGTAGTTTCCCCAAACAGGGGAACCTATATGTTTCCATAACTAGGGGCTACAAGATAGACCCCAATATGCGCTGACTCCTAATATAGGGACACCAAAAAGGTACCCCTGATTTTAGGAATGCCCATGTTGAGGCCACTAGGATGGTTTAAGGTAATTATCTTCCATAATTAAGGGGCATTGCCTGGATGTGCCTTCTAAATGGGAGTTTGCTCGAAGAACCCCTTGTAATCCTCAAAAAACCCTCGGATCTAGGGTCCTAGAGGTTTAGGGTCACGTAAGGGTTCAGGGTATAGAGTTCGGGGCTAGGGTCCTCAGGGTGCCCCCATTTCAAGAAACCTCCCCAGTAACAGGTGATGATGACATTGGCATACATGCTAGCAAATCTGTTTCTGGCAATGCAATGATTTCTCCATCGTTCTACTTGTTGAGGCCCTACCTACTTCCGACCCAAATAAACTTCACATAGTGATACGAGTTTAAATTCAAATCTTCCATTCATTATACACGCAGAAACCGATTGTTCAGCAAGCCCACAGAAGAGTCTGCGCAGGTGAGTTTGGCAACTCATCCCTTGAATTCTACGGCCCTCACGGCGAGTTGGTCGCTTGTGGCTATGAGGCCATCGTGTATGGGGACCATGGGCCATACGTGGAGTTCAAGGACTTCGTTGCGCAAAACAAGTTTTTAAGTCCGTACGGTATTTCTCCACATCCCAAATCTATAACACACACGTTGGGGATGCATGGGCAAAGCTTGCGCAGTGCCACGCGCACATGGTCCTGAGTCAGTCGAAAATGATTGGCCGTGCAAGGTCGGAAACAGACCGTGTTGGTCTTGTAGCCGTGAATTCACGGAGTCTTCGTCTGGCCCGCGCGCAGTATGTGCAGAGATCCCGTAACAAATACCATCCTGGAGAGAGAGAACCTGTAACACTTAAGTAACAACACGTTTAAGAAGCCGGAGCAAGCCAGCGGCTGGGATGAAAGGTTGAAACAAAACACAAGACGTGGGCACCCAAGTCCCTGTATCTGGACGCTGCGCAGGGAAAGAAACCCAGGGGCAATCCACCAAAGTGAGAAGAAGCTCCAGCCACGTAACATGGCAATAGGCAGCCTCAGCATCATCTCATCCAGACTAATTTCATTTTCAACGCAGCTAAAAATGAAGCCGGCGCAAAACCCGTGACCACAATGGCCTGCTGCCTCCAGTAAATCTATACATGTTCCCTCCTTCTTGTTTGCAGCAACAACAGGAAGAGCAGATCTATTGGCCGACCTTCTACCGGCATAGGCTCAAAGGCCCTGGAAGGACGCACTTTGAGCACTACAACCATGATGTGTCCATCAAGCTGTATGGTCAGTTGACCAGTTGCACTTGAGAACGCGTTCAACGTCGGACTCGGTATCCATAAACACGATTAAATCAACATCTGATTTCAGGACAATTTGGCTAGCATGCCTCGGCTCAATAATGCCCAAGTCAGAGCTGGTGCCGTCACAATGGCCACATTGTTGAATCTCCAACCTATAGATGTATTGGATTACTCATTGGAGGCCTAGACCATGATCCCCATCATTTTCATAGGAACTGCCACTTCCAAGGTTCAAGACAGTGGCTGATCAACCCAATCCGCCGGCTGCGTGTCTGGGCAAAAGCAATTCTGACGGGCAAATTCGATTAAGGCTTTAGGTTTCAGAGTTTAGGTTTCAGGATTTAGTCAAATTAGGGTATAGGGCGGTAGTACTGCGGGGACGGAGAGCGTCAGTGCAGAAGCTGTGCAGAATGCAACCAATTGCGCCAGGGACATCAGGGATTCTGCCCGAGAAAGAGATTGCAAAGTTTCCGCATAACCCTTCTGATCCAACCAGAAGACGCTAAAGGTGAATTGTGCCACAGACGCTTCAGTGATCAAGTTAGGTTGCGTACGGTGCCACCGCTTGCACATACATCTTCCTGTGAATCCTAAAAATGGGCCCACGTAGGCATCGCTTGATGCAGAAGGTCTCATTGTCAAATTGCAAGATCCTTTTTTGGGTACCTGAAGTAGTAGGAGCTGTATTATGCAAGGTTTCCCCGAAAAGGGGGTCATAATTTTGACCACCCACCAAATCCAAACTCCCATTCCTTCATTTTTCCATTCTGACCCTTATTTTCACTGCCAGATCCACGCAACCCTGTCCAAGATACTCCCGCGAAAGCTCAATAACCGACGAAACTGCGCTATCATAGCGAGCAGGATAAGGATCTGAGGAGCTTTGAATTACCATCATGATAGCAGTTGCTCATGCCTGTCCCTCCCCGAAGCCTTCAGGTAGGCGTTCTTGTGGCTTCGGAGGCCAACGTGGGTACTGAAGGATTATAGACTTAGGTGCCTGTGACTTCTGTCGCCCAGGTTTCCGAATCCGTTCTCCTGCTCGAATAACCGGCCGGAGGGATATGCAGACTACCGGGCGGGAAGGCTCTACATGTCGTGCGACGCGTTCTTTGAGGTAGGTGGCCGCTGTGTATAGCTGCAAGCTGGGCGAGGCAGGAGTTATGTCGAGGTTTTATGTTGGTCATGTAAATAACTGGGAGAATTTGTTGGGGATGCATACTGGGTGGGCCTCAGCTGCAGATAGGGTTTACGGTTCAGAGGTTCACTCACTTACAAACCCAATCGCACTGAATAGATGGGACACTCAAAGTAGTTGACAAAAGAGCCTTGCCATACAAACGACCAGAGGAAGAACCCTTGAGTTTGAGACCTCCTCAGCTCCCCCAACTGTCAGCAGCGGGCGCAATGCTTAGAGTCGTGCTCGTAATTCAGGCAAGACCGCAGACCTCAACACACCATCCTGAGGCATATTCCTCAAAAAAGCTTTAGGGTTTAGGGTTTGGGGCTTAGGGGTTTAGGGTTTAGGGTTATCCATGTTCAGAATCCCGGCTGAGCTTCATATAAGCCAACTAGTCTACGGCATGCTCCTTATTCAAGTCACATCAGGAATCTTCGAGTTTCAGGTCTATTCCTCAAATCCGGAATGTTGGGCAATCTGCGGATTCTTCACTGGGTTTCCTAGTAAGCGCCTTCTCCCCATTTTGGGGTCCTAGGTTCCTCAGAATAGTAGTCTCTATCGCAACTTGATCCTAAGTTACTGGGTCACCTAGTTCAGGAATCCAACCAGTGCAGATGCGCAAAGTGAGCGCCGTTTCAGAGCATTGCCGTTTAGGGGATCCTGGTTGATGGTTTAGGCCTTTAGGGATACTGCACGCGTCTTCCTCAAAACAAGGCCCAAATAAGCTCTAAATAGGCCTTATGTTGGGTCTCTTTGGGGGAGGAGAGTAAGGGGGGCTGTAGTACAGGATCAAATAACAAGACCGTGCTGTTGCTTTCTAGGAGCCATGTGATGATACATCTACACCTTGTCAGAGGGGTTATAGGGTGTGTGAAGGTTTTGCTAGCTCGTCCTATTACGCATCGGAGTATGCTGGGATGGACACCCATGACTTGAATGATCCGATTCATGAGATAGTTTCCCTAAACCCTAAATAGTGGGACCCCCATATAGACCCCAAAATATTATAATCCTTCTTATAGGGACACCTGACACGGGTACCCCTACTTTTGGGAAACCCGCATGAAGCATGGGGAGCTGCAAGCCATCATTCTTATTGCTACTATCATTACTATCACTATACTATTACGATTACTACCACTGTTAGTACTATTTGCATTACTAGTATTATCACTATTGTTAATACTATTGTTATTATTACCTATTATTATTATTATTCTTACTAGTACTATTACCATTACTTCTAATTACAATTACTACCAGAACAACGAACAATGAACACCGTTGCTGAATCCAGCGCCCTAGCTTTGGTACCTCTGACAGCCTGCCACAACACCAAGTATTGCCCGGGCGTAAAAAGTTACCCTCATTATGGTTCTAGATTCCTTCTATACACATGGCATAGGGTACAGCAGCTCAAGTAGACCTCAACATTAGTTTGGTAGTCAAGTTGGCCTCAACAGTAGATCTGCACCCGAAGCCGGGAAGGCTGCGCAAACCCTTCTAGAAGCTTGTAATGATTCTCAAAACTCCCCCACAGGATTTTCGGCCCGAACCTTGATTATCTCCTTCTATTTCCTGTTAGTCCCCAATTCCCTGCAAGAGAACTCCCAGAGGCTTGCAAGGATATAGGTCGGCAAGGCTCTTTGAAGGCTTATTGCTCGCAATCTGTGGTGTGGCATTTTGTATGGAGATTCAGGTTTGCATTTATTGTCTAAAGTGGTTAAGCTGGACCTCAAGAATAGGCAAAATCAAGGCCCAAATCTCTTATTAAGAGCCAGACAGGCCATTATGTCACACACTCTTGGGGTCCAGGCAGCAACCCCTATAAGATCCGTAATGGAGCCTGACCGATCTTCTTACATCCCCAAACTCCCCAGTTCTGAGAACCCCTCATGCATAGTGTGGCATGCGAGCTGAATCCTCATGAAGAAGTGCTAGAAAAAGCGATTGTGCCAAGCAGCCAGAGTATCAGATGTTCTGCCAAAACCCTTGCTGTCAAGAACCTGCCTCAATGTTGGCGCATCTCGATGCATTGATGCAGCTTCTAGGCTTGTAGCTTCTAATTAGCATGAGACCCTCAAAAGAAATCGAGCGCATGATTGATAAAGCCCTGCACAGGGAGGTTGCTGAACTGCACCCCTTGCAGAAGACATTTCGTGCCAAACCCTTCAGCCGATGGGCATAAGGCATAAGGCTTCCAGCAATCACTGTTCAAATCCCACTCGCCTTGCACAAGACCCCTTCCGTAAACTTGAACTGATCAGTCTTTGCAACAGCCCAAGATGGATATCGCGTGTGCATCCTGCCTCCACATTCCGCTGTATGAAGTATATAGTCTATAGATCCGAACATTAGATCCCAACCCCAAGGCAACTCCTTTTGTATCCGTAACCTGTTGTAGCCGACTATCTGCTGGCGCCATCACTCGCTCGCCATGTTAGCGACTCCCTTGCCTTCGAGACAAGGCCTGCCCCTCGAAGGGACCTGCCAGAGCCCAGCACCCATCGGTTAACAAGTTTACGTTTTAGGGACTTTACCGCGATAATGGAAAATCAAATGGAAAGAACCTTTGTCAGGGAATGTTGCACGGAACATATTTTCATGGATCCTACTTGGAGGATGAAAGATATATTTCAACCTTCTTCTGGTTGTACTTCCAACCCGATTTGTTGTATATTTTCCGGTCCGATGTGCAGTATGTGTGAATCAAGGCACCATCTTCTTCTTGAAAATGCGACGATTATTGAAATCTGAAGGTGAACACGACTGTCACGCGCGAATAGTTACGCCCAAGAATGACAGTTGTCAGGTCCCGCGTTTCTTGTAGCCGCAAAAAATGGGCATGCCGGTCCCCAATTTGAAGTTCCCATGTCGAGGTCTCTTCCTCGTTATACCAAAATTGCTCTGTGGCACTCCATTTGGTGTATCTCCATGTGAACCCTCGACATCCTACCTGCAACAGCCCTGGAGATGCCATCACTGCAGAGTCAAAACCTATCCTTCCCCTAGCTTAAGATGGAACTCCATGCAGGCCCCCTTCAAACAGAACAGTAGTCTTAGGACCCCGTCTGGCGTTGCATGCTATGTTGGGGAGTGGGAAGTTCTTACTGAATACTGCATGTATGACCCCAGGAACACTTCAGACGGCGCAAAGAAGGCCTGTGGAGTTCGGGTTCAGGCTTTAGGGTTTGGGATCTAGCCTTTAGAGCCTGGGGTATAGGGTGCGGGGGTTTACGGTATGAATTTAAGGTTCTGAGTTTAGGTTTAGGATCCGCGGTTAAGGTTCGAGGTCGAGGGTTTGGTCTTCCACTTTGTGCTGAGACAGGGCCCTGGGCATTCGAGGTGTCATGGCAAATTCTGGAGGTCCCTATATTGGGGTTTCCAAAAACTACGGGTACCCTTTTGTGGTCCATATATATATATATATATAAGGGATTAACATTTTTGGGTCTACAGTGGGGCCTCCTTACTTAGGTAAAAACTACCATACCATGGTCATGTTAGCAACTCCAACTATGACACGTGCCGGAAAACATGTTTCTTCTCATGCCGCGGAAAGTTGAAAACTAGTTGGAGGCCAGACATATACGCGAAGCCACCTTTCCCTAAACCCAGAATGCTAAACCTTAAATAGCAGTTTCCATTTTCTTTTATCCTATATGGTAGTTTCCCAAAATAGGGGGACCCCAATATAGACCCTAATATACTATGATCCTTATTATGGGGACCCCCAAAAAGGTACCCCTAATTTTGGGAAACCTCCATATATCCCCCTAAATAATCCCAGTTTCCATTTCATTTTCCATTTTCTTGTCCATTTGATTCTCCATTATAGTAGGTACCCCTAATTTTGGGAAACCTCCATATAACCCTATATTATACACTAACCAAAGTTAAGGCCGGGCAGCCTCAGGATGTTTTACCCTTCTTTTGTTCGGTGTTTTGCTTGCAGCGTTTGAGGGCTGCAGAGGCACTTGATTATTGGAGTTGAACAGGTTTGTGATCTCTTTAAGTGGGTTGTCTGCTGAAAGAGACTTCCATACTGCTTCGCATGAGCACTTCTATATTGATTGGGTACTTTTGGGGGTTGCAGGTTCGGGTCCGAAGTGAGATCAGCGTACTTCGGCTACTTCTGAAGGGTGGTCTAGGATGTTCGACACATATCCATCTGCCCACGACTCGGAGCAGGTGCGTGAAGAACCCACACAACGAGAGCCTGTCTACCAGGTTAGGTACAACAGTTCAGGATTGTCAAGATCTTTATAGATATGAGGCGCCTGGCACGACCCGGAACCTCCATCTCATTGCAAGTAGAACCTAAGAAGTCTGAAGAAGGCGTCCAAAATTGAAACTCAAATAGCATCGAGGGCAAATGTAAAGAAAGGGCCTGGAGGGTTTTAACCATCAGCAGGATGTGATTTTGATTATTCTACGGCAGGGGGGAGCATGTCATTGTTTCAAGGAAGGATGGAGATTACCAATTCAGGCCTACATCGCATGAGTTTGCTGTGAAGACCAATGACATGACAGGACCTGCCCAACACCCTCTCATGCTGCTTCAGTCGGGCCCTCAACAGCTTAGGCATAGGGGCTCCGGGTTTGTGTAGGTTTGGGATGAGGGCTGAAACCTCGAGCTTCTAACTCCAGCCTTCTATCATGAACTCGTATTTTCTCGTGCAATATTTCTACAGGGGACTGACTATGAGGATGGAAGAGTCACTGGTCCCTGCCACGTCGAGATCTGGGAGCTGAGAGTGTCAGTCTGCGTCACACTAGAGCAAAATGTCCTCAACAAGATGGTGGCCGAGATGTGTCAGATTCAGTTCCGCCTCCCAGGGCAAAGCTTTCCGGCGCTCTAGATTCAAGCTGCCACATATTCAGCATGCCGTTTCAGGAAAGAGAGACCTTCCAAAAGAATGCGAGGAGAGTATAGTTACGTAATGCTTACGGCAGTA